AAATAATGAGTGTGCAAAAAATTAAACTAAAATTTAAAATGTATCAAAACCCATAAAAGATACATTTAAAAAATATCATCATAAAAATAACCTACACATCTTTATAAAGTTCTTATCTCAAAACATAAAAACGTAGGGAAGTCCGCAACTATTTTTATCATCCTTTGATATTCATATAAATATTAATATAAATTTATCTAGTTAAATTTGCTTATGAATGGTCTTTTATTTACGAGCTTTGACCCTGTTTAAAATACGAAGCGGTAGTAGGATGAATGAAGTAGCGCAAGCCAAGTCGAGATTAAAATAAAAGTAAAGGAATATGAAGTGCCCGCAGTATGACAGGCTCAATTTGCATTGTGGAACGCAAACTTTGCGAACTCAAAGACGCAAGTTTCTCGATTGAAAACATCGATAAGCGTAAGCGATAACAAATTTGAGAATCATGTTTTGGTTTTAGTTCAATAATTAGTTTAATATCTATAAATTGTGAAACTGTTGCAAATAAATAAAAATTTAAATATTATATTTATTGATTATTAAATACAATCAATATGAGTTTGATTTGGGTAAAAATTTGATTCATCGCGATTCATCGTCTCGATCATTAATTTTAAGCAACGATTTCTCGTAGATAGGAAAATATATTGAAAGAATATAAAATGTATTTATAAATAATGAAATAGTACTTTAAGGAGTTTCGTAAAGAATAAATATTTCGTGATGTAACAAAACCTTTAGAATTTCTCAAAAATCAGCGGGCAATTATCTGTTCGGATTCGAATTAAAAGCATCAAAAACTTTCGAAGAGGTATGTATAATTTTAAAAATAAATAACTCCTATAGAAATAAAAAAAAAATTAAAATTAATAATCCAACTTGTGATAAAATATTTATTTAAATTTATTTATGGGGTGCTTTCTATTATTTTTTTTTTATCCAAGAGCAAAGAAAATATTTAACTTAATATTAAATAAAATATTTCAGCCTGAACATCAAACACATAATTTATCGATAAAATTCAATGAAGTAAAAAGTAATTCCTTGATATGACCATTCTTAACGAACTTCTTTCATAAAACAACGTTCACTTCATTGCTTTTTCTGCCCAGTCACGGAAGGTTTTTGTATTTTTAGCAAGGCAATGGAAACCCAAAACCTTTCTTTAATCTAAAGAGTGTCAAGAATTCCTCCTTGGTGGGATATCCTTTACCTACGCAGTTATACGAATCAGATTTGTTAACATGAGTTTGTAGTTTTGTTAATTTTAGTTTGTAAAATATTAACAAAATTTTTTGTACAAAAAATAGGGTTTGTAATTATTTTTACAAAGGAAAATATTTTAGCGAAAGTTAATTTACAATTTTGTAAGCATTTTATTAATTTCAAAGGTTACAAATTATTTTGTTAATGTTACAAATTATCTCGTTGAAAAACTATACGTGATTTCAGGCAGTCAATCAAAATATTTTCCATTGACAATTATATTATACGCATCACTAAGTTCCACTGACTTTAGCGTCTGCAACTTATGTTACTGCTTTCTTTATTCTAAATCATAACGTGTTTGTAACAAATGTCCATAATATATTACCAGAAATCTGTTATTATTGTTTTCGGATTCCTTATACTTATTTAACGAGTGTGCGAAGTATTCGAAAAAAGATGCCATCACTGATTTTTAAACCAAAATTAGGAGATACAGTGAAGTGGGTTAAAGGTACGAAATACATCAGTAAGTGTTGTAGAGCCTATTATGGGGTAGATTCCTAATATGGGGTAGGTATGTATCTTTGCAACCAAACTAGATACAGCTATGTTTTTTTGGACAAAACACAACTACTTGGCTTGTATGTATTTCTACTTAATACACTGCCCGTCAAAATTAACGCATAATAAGTAAAAAAATTGTAACTCTAAAACGCCTTTACCAGTCTTTATAAAATTTTGGATAAAAATACTTTAACTTATATCTCAGTATACGTGTTCAAGGGTTTTTCGAGAAAATATCCTTAAAGCCCTTTTATTTAATAATAAAAAAAAACGCTAAAAAAACCTTTATAGGGAATTTTTTAAGTAAGTCGTCAAAAATGACCACTTTTCAGCAAAATAATCAAAAATGGGTCGTTTTTACCGACTTTGAAGCATTGTATCTTCGTTACTGTTCGTTTCAGGGTATACTAACAAAAATTCGGTCTTTAACAGCATATTTTTTATTTACTTAAAAAAAATTCCCTTAAAGTTATTTTCCAAACGTTTTTTTATTATTAAATAAAAGGGCTTTAAAAATATTTTCTCGAAAAACCCTCGAACACGTAAACTGTGTAAACTCAACTCGAGGGCTATGGCGAACGGCAGCTTTACAGTGGTGAGATGGATCGATGGGCAAATGTTGTTTCTTAATACTTACGTGTTTTTACTAACATAAATCCAAAATTGGGCGCCAGTGTCTTATTATGGCCAGTTGTTAAAATCTAAGTAAGTCAGACACAATCTTACTAAAGACTAAGGGTGGTTATTAAAAGTCAAGTTTAAAAAAAAATATAAATCAGTTATATTTGTTCACCGATGTTAAAATGATCACTTTGCATGTAATAATAAATATTTTGGTGCACCCTTATATGGCCATATATGGTTTACAAAAACCAAAGTCTGATAACTGACAAAATATTATCGATGCTACAAAAAAAATATACTTAAAATAACTATGGTGAACTCTCAACTTAAAAGTACACAAACAAAATATATTATAAGGAGTGTAATGTACGTGAACATTAATATTTAAAATTGGTACGACCTGTTCGTAGTTGGGGCCCTGGTAGACTGGGTCTCCGAATGGGTTGGCTTCCGATGAAGAAGTCTCCTACCATGTCAGATTATACAGGATGGCTTTTAAATAACGTAAGAACTTGCCATTATCCAAAACAAGTTCAGGGTAAAAAACCATTCCTTTATAACAAATCTGACATAAAAAGTCTTACAAAAAACTCCAACATAAAAAAACCCTAAAAAAAAATATGGTATGATGCCCAAGCATCTAAAAAAACTATTAACCGCCTAACTTACCCTTGTTTAAAGGAGTTTTTACAACTATACAACGTCAGGACTGCATAAAGACCAAAAATGAGGGAATAACACAACCCTAAAATGGAGAACCTCGTGGATAAAACATTTAATTTCAGCAACAGGTCAAAAACTCACCCAGAGCTCATCGTACCAAACGAAAATTGTCTTGTTCGGAATTATACAATTAGATTGAGAGATTTACCACGTATTTTTGGAAATTTTCCATAATTTAAGCACAAACTTAACTCTCATCTAATCGCTTCAACGACCAAATCGAAAAGGAAATTGTCAACCTTATTAAGTGCGTAGAAGATTATTTAAACAAAAAAAAAACACAATGTTGCCTATGTTAACAAACATTTTTAAAAAGATTTCCCACAAAGTCCACCAGAACCTAAGCATCAAACACAAATATTCCCTTAGTAAACCCTAGTAACATACCCAAAAACCCAAATACATACCCTCCTAAACGCAATCATTTGGAAAATTCCCTCCACTGACACTAAATTGTCAATAACGGCAAACCAGCTACCAAAATATTTCATAATATTCATATGAATATATTAATTATAATTATCATTATAACTACATACAACCAACCTCACACGGAAGTGTTTGTGTTGCATACTATCAAATTACCGTTTTTGAATAAAATTAAAAGAACTGGCTTAAAAAGAGTTTTAAATACCGGCAATGCTATTCATGTGTCAGTAAAAGGAATTCCAATAAAACTAATAGATTTTCTTGGAAAGAGGCATTTAAAGAACTAAACAATTATCCTTGTTAAAATTATACTTAACAATTAGTAAAACTAAAAATAAAATACCGTGTACATCCATACCGTTCTAGATGTAAAAAAAACTAATAAAATAAAATAAATGTGTAGCTGTCAAAATGACGGTTACAACTGAGATATCGTAAGTTGAAGTATTTTTATACAAAATTTCATAAAGATTAGTAAAGGCGTTTTAGAGTTTTTTTACTTATTATGCGTTAATTTTGACGCGCAGTGTATTAAAGCTATGTACCGATTAGCTGTTTTGCCATAGGTGGTGCTTAATAAAACGATTTAAAAAATCTATTAGACAAGGTTTTAATGTGAATCTGGGAATCATATTCAGTTTTTATAACTTATTTATAAATTTTAAAGTTGTAAATACCTTTTATTTTTCTTTATTTTTTTGTACTATAAAATTTCACCAGATATTTTTTCAGGTACCTTATATTAGGTTATACCAGGACCCCTTATATGGAGGTAGATACAAAATTTTTAAATTATTTGTTTAAAAAAAATTATAATGTTTTAATGATTTTTTATAGTATTGTCTTGCTTGCATATTAAAGAACCAACCTTGCTAAACTGAAAAATAAAGAAAACTATTATAAATTAAAATGGTAGGTACCCCACAATAGGTGACTTTCCTCTTGTAGTACTGATCATTATATTGTATCAAATTTCTTTATAATGTGATGATTTCAGAATGGTGTGTTATTTAATTGTGCAAAAATAGCATACACATGTGTATGTTATTTTTTTGTTCTTTTATGTAGGTATGTGTTAATTTTTTTGTTTATGAAATTGATTAATAAAGCAACATTTCTTATCAAAAATCCCTTCATTTAAGTTCCCAATTTCCAACAAATACTTTAGTTACCAGGTCCACAAAAAGTTTTTAAAAAGGTCCTTTTTGAAAATTACAAGAATTATGGTTGAATTATTGACATAGGATTTTTTTATTAAATCTACAAAATGTTTGTTATAATTACAAACTACTTATTCAATTAGTAAACGGATTAACATAAAATCTGGTTAATATTTGGTTAAAATTAACAAATATTTTTTAACTGTAGGTATATTTCTGTTAATGTATCCCAAAGGCATTTATTTTCAAAAGGTAACTTTGAACTAAAACTTATTTCTTATTATTTTTCAGATGGTCGCAGGGTCTGTTGTTCCACCAGGGCGCCGTGGATTGCGCCAGGGCGGCCCTTCTTCTGCCGCTGGGCATCTCAATACTGCACTGTCAGCCGGTATCGAAATGCTCCTTGGTGGAAACAGCCTTTTTGCTGCTGGTCACAGTGGCGACCGTCAACATGCTCACAACTGTTCTTAACGATTCTCCGGTGTTTCCTGAGGACGACGACGCCGACGTCGCCATGACCGACGCTCCACTCTTAATGGATTCCCCGCAGTGCGTTCTTTTTGGAACGTTCATGATTTGGTTTGCTTCGATTACGATTAATTTAGGACCCACTTTTCTTTCTGGTAAGAAATATTCATTTTTACATTCATTCAGTTTTACTTACAAATTATATTTATACAGGGTGAACTATAACCCGTGTAACAAAAACCTCGAGAGTATATACTTTGGCAAAGTATGATAAGCATAATTTACAATGTGAAACTTGAACTTTGTTATAGATTTACTTAGTCTTAAGTTTCCTGATCAAAACATCGATAAGTAAAAGTGATACCCCATTTATGAATACAGATTGTTTCAGAATGCTAATTTAAGTTTAGTAATTAGTTTATTGCAAAAACATTGTAACATCACGCAAATAGGGTGATTCGTTTAAAAATGAACAGGAGTCAAAATACAATAAATTTAATAAAACCAGTAAAAATTAGTCTATTAATCTACTAAAATCGCATTTCCCTTTTTAACAAAGTGGAAATATCTAGAGATACATTTTATAAGACATTTCAATCATAAATGGATAACGCTTATCTAAAAGAAACCAAGCGCCAAAAAGTTTTTCAGGGCTTAGTAAAATTGTTTGTAAAATAACTCATTTTTAATAATGCTCAAATGGTTGATCATCATTTGGAACTTTTTTCAAAAGTATTGAGAAGGTTACCAAATTATTATTAATTTTTTAAGCAGCATTAAAAGCAGCAGCAGAAAAAGTTTTTGTCGCTTGGTTCCTTTTCGATAAACGCCAAGTAATTCATTGTCAGCCCTTAGGCAAGCCCCTGATAAAGCTGTTAACATCATTGCAAATTTGTATTAATTTTTATTTTAAGATATTTTTTAATGAATCTATAAATTGTATTTAAATTAAAATTCACACAATTAATTATTAGGTTAATTATTAGTACAGTCCAAAAAGACTAAATAAAGAAGAAGTAATTCTCGAAAATAAGGCATAATATATTAATATGTTACAAATAGCGTTCGCAGGCTAATTTGCACTACATAAACTCACAGAAATAAAATGTGCGCACGAGCATTTTGCGCATCCGCAAATTACTAATAAAGTATGTGCGTTTCTTTGTCGTTTCCCTACCTAGCAAGTTACTTTTCCTATATTTAGTCTTCTTGGCACAGTCTAATCCAAGATACATACACCTTATGATAGGATGGTGCGCATGTTAGGCGGGGCTTAAATACGTCACTACACAGTAAAAAACATTACAGAATATTACGTTGGCCACATAGTAACCAACGTAATATTCTGTAAAATATTTACCTTTTACAGAATATATTCTGTAAAATCACTTAATAATCGTAATAATTTATGCGTTTGCACAGTATGAAAAAATTACAGAATATTACGTTGGCCACATAGTAACCAACGTAATATTCTGTAAAATATTTACCTTTACAGAATATATTCAGTAAAATCACTCAATAACCGTAATAATTTATGCGTTTATTTGAAACACCATATTTTGTATGTAAATATTACATATTTTTATCCGTAATTTTACCAAATATATTTGAAACACCATATATTTTATGTAAATATATTACATATTTTTATCCGTAATTTTACCATTATTTTTTACTGTAGTTGAGTATTTTTAAATCTTTAACGTGCGTTTTAATTATTATTATTCTTGTTTTTGTGATTATGTTGGATGTTAACTTGCTCTATTTTTTTGTTTAACTTGTTTTTGCGTTCGGTAAGGTTCAAATTACTTTTCAGTGTTCAAATTATTGTTATTGCGTTGTGTTTACCTGTTCTGTTTGTTTATTATTGTTTTTGTGTTGCGTTAACTTGTTTTGTTTATGTTTTAGTTTGTGTCGTGCCATTTGCATTTATTAAAATGCGGTATGGCATATTTGGATGCAATTCGGACAACCAGTCCAAGAAAAACCCTTTAAATAAAAACATTAAATTTCATCGATTCCCGAAAAACTTTGATTTGTGCAAACAGTGGTTAAATGCCACAAAAAAATAGACAATATTAACGTTAAAACCGCTTCTGTTTCCTCTAAACATTTTCTGGACAGTGACTATAAGTTTTATTTAAAACACCAACTCTTAAACAACAGCCCTAAATGTTATCAAGGACTGAAAGCATCTATTATCCATATTATAACACTTTTTTCAATATTAAGTTTAATAAAAACGCACTATATCCAGATATTTCTCTATTTTCTTTGATAATATTACTATTATTCGTGTATTCGCACGGCAACTACTCATCAAGTGACGTCATGCGCGGCACGAACCAAAACTCGTCTACGGGAGCATCCAGTCTTATTCATTAAGTGTACACCAATTACAATGAGAAGTTTCTTTGACCTTACAAAGCAGTGGCACAGTATTTAATAAAATGGAAAAATTGGTTGTAAAATTTAAAATAGTACATAATTAAATAAAATGTCAAAATAAAATATTAATTTCATTGCCTACACGCTTTAAAACCAAGTAAAAATTTACGTCTCACCCGGTAATTCAGTTTAGATTTATGTCTCATTTGTTTAATATGTAGATTTCTTTTTAAATTGAAAATTCGATAAAGATTATATTTCTTATAAATAATTTATCTTAAACATCCGATAAATGTAGTAATTGAGATAAATGTAGTAATTGAAATAAATGTAGTAATTGAGATATGATCTTCATTGAATTTTAAAATAAAAACTACATATTAAGCAAACATTGGCAAACATTATTCTGTTTAAAAAATTAGACCCACGTCAATTAGGATCTGGTTTTCGGGTTAACCGTTTGTAATTTACTCAACGCAACTAAATAATTTAAAACATTGTTACTTCTATTTTAGGTGCTCTTGCTGCTCAGGGCGAAGCGGGTCACAAAGCCCCCTCCTGCCCCCTGATCCACGGCCCCCTGAGACATTACATCCTCAACGCCCTCTGGATAATGGTCAATCTGGTATGCGTGTTTCTTACGCTCTTTCACCTAAGAAAACTGCATCGAGATCTGACAAAAGCGAACGTGGAGGCCGTCAGAGTGGCAGGACTGGTCACCACGTTAGTAAACGTCACGGGCGGCGGGTCGGCCGGACAAGCCAATGGAGAGAGGGTAAGAGCAGTGTTGCCACCATGAAGTACAAAATAATTAATGCATAATTAGAGTTCTTTTTTTATCTGGACTCGTGTTTTTTGTTAGGTTGGTGGCTTATGCCAGTTTGACTTAGTATTTTTAGTATTTAAAAATGGTACTTCTGCTAAAGAATTTAATTTAATACTTTGACACTGTCAAATTGACAATAATATTTATTATTAATAATTTACTTGTCAATTATAAATAAAAAGATAATTATGCCAAAAATAATAGCAACGAATTCAAATGTAAAAGTCCTTTTCAGGGCAAAACTTCATTTTGATGAAATTATGCCAAATGCCACATTGGAAGAAAAAGTACATCGTCTTATGGACATTTTTGGAGTAAAAAAGTAACGAATTTGGTTTTATAAATATTACATCACACATTATTTTCACATTATTCACCATTGGACAACATTAACGTTCACAAAAAATTTTAATTTCTTTTATATAAATTCTTTTCAAAGCGAAGATTATTATCCGCTAGGAATACTTTCTCTTCTGGGCCGTAAAGCAACCTATATTTAACTACTTTTTTATATGATTTTACTCATCCAAGCACCAGCAAAGCCAAATTAATTGCATTTTTAACTACGAATTTCGACAACTCAACTTGACAACTGCACAATGTAACCTACAATAATTTATACATAACCACAATTTGATTTATAACTAGCTTAGTTTGTTTTAATCAATGCGACCAACTTGACAACTGTATTTACCAACCAAAACCCTAAATTTGCAACGTTGCCGCAGTCCAGATAAAAAAAAAGAACTTTACTTTCTTTTTAAACTCTGGAAATGCATAATTAACAAAAAAAAATATTAAAATGAAAATTTAACAGAATACATATATTTCCTTTTTTTTGCTAGGCCGGTATGTCAAAATCATTTGCTATTTTTACGTACTTTTATTTTATAAACGAGTTGCATACTTTATCAAGGACGAACACAAAAAGAATTTAAACCCAATTTTATTTGTTAAACATTTGACATCCTACTTTTCCAAATTCATAATTAACCTTTCTTTATCCCGTGACTAAAACGCCATAGTCACAGCTGGTCAATAAAGGAGTAGATAAATTACTATATTATATATGTTTTATTGTGTTTAATTTGTTATTTTGTACATTGCAAGGACCACACCTAAAAACACGGTTTACGCAATTGGGCCTTAAAAAGGACATAAAAAGTAACTTTCCAGTCATAATTCAAATAAAACATCCAACAGTAAAAGCCGCATATTTTAAACGATTAAAAAAGTGTCTCCAGGAAAGAAATAAATATAAAGGCCGCTTTGGGTTGGGTATGTGCCGTTTTAGACAATGCAACAGGGCCGGATTAGGGTTTAAATCTGGATTTATCTTCTGGAAACACCCGGATGAGAGAAGATAACTAAATCCATTAAGTTACGTGGGTGAATATAGTAAACATTAATCCAAGAAAAAAGATTTTCTTATTAGGTAAAGTTTTTAAAATACCTATTTTGTATGGCTGTGTTTTAGTTGGATTGGCCCAATTCCAATTTTCTTTTTCGATTTAAATTTTAGCAAACTGAAATATCATTTAAAGGTTTATAAAATAAAAGATACAAATGATCGTTAGTGTAGGTAGCTATTTCAATTAGATTCCAAAATAAATTAAACTTTATAATTTGTGTTCCCGTAGGTGCTTGCAGATAAATGTTTTAAAATTACTTTATCAAATAAATAAAATAAATCACAAAACACATTGAATAGATTGCCATACAATACTTTACAAAGAATCTGTATGTAAAATAATCTATAGGTATAGTTTATTTTACGGGAATTTATCTACCAACTGGGTAATTATGATAATAACATTGTCCCAGCAACTAGGTATCTACATAAAATATCTGTACCTGGGCGTTTCTCTAGCTACTGGGTAATTAATTATAAATAAGAAAATTGGCTCAGCTACTTTTCAACATTTATATTAAAAAAAATCTTATATGTAACCCAGAGCCAAAGAGGCCATTTTTTTTAATCACGTTACACATTCTTTGCCTACATTTTTCTTCTCTTTACGATGGTAAACAACATTAAGTCATAGCTTACCTAGTTTTTGATGAACTTGATATATCAAAAACTAAGCAACGACCAAATCCTATTTACCAATAAAAAGAGAAAAAAATAGGCAAAAAAATAAGTAACGTGATTTTAAAGAAGTGGCTCAGGGGTACAGATATTCGTTGTGAAATAATGAACAACAGTTTAAAGACAGTTTGTTGTACATAATTGTTGATACAGAAAAAATCCTTATCAAGAATCGATCCTCTATAGAGAATCCTCTATACAGAATAAATCTTTGTCTTTATGTAGCCAGGGGACTGTCTAATTTGACTAAATAATAGGATTTTCTATATGAGATCATACTTTAATTTAGGTTTGAGAAACAATAAAATAAATAAATAAATAAATTATTTAATACAGATGAAAAAACTCTACTGTTCGCGACTACTGCCTAAGCGAGCTCCTCATCCTTAACTTTAGTACAAAACAAATCAGCGTCGGCATGCTTTTGACGTTAATGCAAATTTAAAACAATTTTAGTTTAGAACGCATTAAAAAGTTTTTTGTTGTAGATAAAAACGCATGTAATATAAACATCTGAGGGACTTCAGATTCTGGAACAAACTTGCTATTTTGCTATTTTTGTTATATTCAAATGATACAAATACGTTTTCGATGAATTAATTATATTTTAAAATCAATTTATTAATTTCACGACTTCATTAATATTCAGGACAATTCAATAACATGGTTATGGGCCAATCAGGTCGATTGAATATAATATAATTCGTTAACGACTCATGTGAGTGAACTGGCCTGATAATCAATAGTTAGGTACTTTGTTTTATTTCAATCTGTAAAAAAATTGTTAGAAATTGACCATAGTCATTTCTTGCATAAATCTTTTCTGGCTGATCAGAAAAGCTTAACCCAAACCTTGCGACATCGTTCCCCTTGCGGTTTAAGGTAAAAACTCTTTTTTTTAAATGACAAGACATATAGAAGACCACGTCGAAGGACGGTAGATGGCGACAAATTACTTTCGTCTCACCGCTTTGAATGATTGCATTTTCTATAAAAGGAAGGGCAATCAAAATTTCGTTCGTGTTCCGCACCAAACACAACTCGGCACTGATGAGATCCAATAGATCGAAACAGCTGTCTGCCGATGCTGGTGTGTAACACGAACGAAATTAAACAAAAGCGGAGACGAAATAATTACAAGTGAATCTTTTTTTTATGTTGTTTAAAAGAAAAATTTAGGGAACATTTATCCCTACAATTTATGTAATTGGGTCGATACTCTAGGACGAAAAATTTAAAAAGTACGTGGCGCTAAAGTATCCAAGTATCCTATTATATACTTGGGAATCTGCGGGCGATAAAATCTTAAATTTTTCTGTGAAAATTAAAAATAGATCAACATTTGATATAGAAGCAGTTTTTTACAGTAAAAGAGAAGAGAATGTTTTATGGGCACTGTACGAAAATTTTTAACGCTTTATTAGTTAAATCTAGTTAACTGCACTACTACGGCGAAATCAAAAGGTCAGTACAAACGTTCATATAATCTTTTCAAATATTGGCCTCAAGAAACTATTTAATACTTTTGTATTTTTGTATTGAGATCGAGATTGAGATAATAAAATAATTTTCACATTTAGTATTATTTTTCAAGAAAGGCACTTTATTTTAACGAATGTATTGCATTTGACAACTGTCAACTAACTTAAAACTAACTTTAGCCCGTGACTAAAAACCTGGTGCTAACTTTAGCCCGTGACTAAAACGCCATAAAGATAAAGCTTGTCGATGTGTATTTAAAAGGTCACTTAGTGTCATGGAAACATGTACGATAATGGGCGTTTTAAAGGTGGGAGTAGAAAAAATAATTTAGTTATCGTTGGTCCAAAAATGTATTCTTTACTGTGTTTTTAAAAGAGTCAAATTTCCAAATTTACTGTTTCTTTAAAAAAATTATATTTCTTGACCTGATTAAGGTACTACTGGAAAGGATGTTAGTACCCGTTTTTAATAATTGTAAGCAAAAGGGCCGTATCGTTTTTTTTTCTAAAATTATTTTTTATTGTTTTTAAAATAATAAAAATTAAAATTACAATTTGTATTATTGATCAATCGATCTTACAACCCTTTAACAAAAATCGAAAAAAATACTTTACGTATAGGTTAATTATCATATCTCAAAAACTAACATAACGTTTGGCTTTTGAATTTGATTTTCGGATTCAGAGGACAATTTTACATATGAGTTGATTGTTAAATGTCCGGGATACAAAGTGATGCGGACTGCAGTTATTAGTGGCTGCTTTCCCCTATGACATATAGTCATTTTTGACTTATTCATTTTAATATAGTACCTTAATCAGGTTGGGAAATATGATTTTTTATAATAAGCCTGCTAAACGGTAAATTCCAAAATTTGACTCCCCTCAAAAATCCACAGTAAGGAGGGGAAGAAAAAAATATATTTTTGTGCTGCTTTAGGTGTAATCTAACGGTAACTAAAATATTTTAAAACTTTACCTTATTTTAAGGCTTCAACCAATTTTAATTTCCATTACCAATATATAAAATTGCAATCAGTTCAATAGTGATATTTTACACAATATCCATGTCACTGATAAATTATGGACAAGTTTCAATTACTGTTCTTAATTAAAAAGAAAAATAAGACGAATCTCTAACGTGGGCATCGTGTAATTTAACAGCTGCAAGTATATACAAAAAACGAAAAAAAACCAAATGTTAATGGGTATTTCACAGTAATCAATCAAATTGAAAGAGACTTTTAGTAAAAAGATATTAATCTTATATAATAACATATTAATCTTATAGTGTATAATACATTTAATATAAGTGTTAAAATTATGCCCTGATAAAATGTCTTCTTATTAAAAAAGTATTTTTCAAAGGACTATTTTAT